TCTCCGTCCGCTACCCTCCGTTCACCCACCTGTTTCACTTTTCCGTGGTCCGCGTTTCACACTGTCCGTGGAGTTTCACCTTCTCCTTTTTTTCGGCTGGCCGGTCCGACCGCAGCCAAAAGGACCGGGTTCGTCGAATCCGTCCGTCAGGACAGTGGTGTCTCACCAGACCTCCGGTTTCCATGCAACGGCTAACAAAAAAGAGAAGCGCGAGTGCGAGTTTGTAGCCGACCGAGCACTCTTCTAACTCCTAGGGTAACGGACTAGTCCGCCCGAACATTTTCGTTGCATTTGCCCATGTTCGCAAACTCCAAGCCTGGGGCGACAAGGTTTTGATAGGTTTTGTCTTCGCCTGATGACGTTTTCGTTGCTCAAAATGAGCTTCGTTCCGTGAGTGCCGGGCTAAGAGTCTGTCTGGTCTTGGTTGTTGGATTTCTGGCTCGTACCACTGCGAAACTGCATGAATCTGCACTGTGTCGTGTACCTTGTGTTTAAGCAGCGGACAAACAAACAGCGCAACCAACATCAGAACACAACTACAACCCGATGCACCGATGCACCATAACATCGAAGCACGTCTGGCACTCCCTGGATTTTGTTGTTTGTTTTCTTCGGCCTCGGGCTGGAAGTTTGAAACCAGCTAGAATGGTGATTGTATTTCGAGCTCGCATAAATAGTCGGCTTAACCGGTGCCAGTGGTGTTTTTGCAGAGGGTCTGTCATGGGGTGGGGCAGGCACGCGGGCGCATGCTGTCCTGTATGTCTGGTCGCCCGTCCGTCTGCCCAACCGACCCGTCGACCGGCCGGCCGTCCATCCGTCCGGCCACAAAATACTCACAGCTGTCGGTCGCCAGGCACTGGCATCGCCCCGATGCGGTCCTACTGCCGGCTGCTCTTCCACGACGATGCCGGGGCCAGCGCTGCAGCCTGCCAGCTTTTTCTGCCAGCGAATGTCGGATGAACACCCTTGAAAGCTGCCAACGCGTAAATGTCCCGAGGACGGTGGCAGAAAGTTCAAGGGTTTGGCCTGGCTCTTCATGGGTGTTCCCTACTCCAAGCCGCCTGGTTGCATTCGTCTGCCAGCAAATAGAGGCGCTGTCAGCCTGACCACACCCTGGCCGCAAACCGAAGGGTCGATTCTTCGGGTTCTGAGCCTTGGACAAGGCCCTCCAAGCTATCCAAGGTCTCTCCTTTACGATGACGTTTCATGACCGCACGAAGATTCAGTTTTGGTTCTGTCAACCAGCGCTGAGAATATGCACCCGATCACTGCAGGTTCACCAGGTGCATCCATGGTGTAGGCCACTGCAAGCGCGCTGGAAAGGAGCACCAGGACTACAAGAAGAGCTACCCTGACCAGTTCAAGTACGACTATGCCGTCAGCCGTGAGCAGAAAAACGCTGCCGGCCAGAAAATGTTGCTCCCCCTGCACGCAAGCTTCGCTGCTCCGGTGTAGCTCGTGCTTGAAGAATGAGCCCTGCCACATTCAGGTATATCCAGACCAAGATGGCAGAGTATGCTGCCGTTCAGCTTTTGTTATCGCAACCACGAGGCCACCAGGCCACGAGGCCACGAGGTTTGAGGCGAAGGCAGGACTTGACCTCGGAGCCTCCCCACCTCGACTCAAAAGTCGACGTGCCAAAAGTCTCGTCAGAAGATCCTCATCCTGCCTAAGGATGAGCTCTGGGAGCTCATGCAGGACGAGAAGACCCACGTCTACATGTGCGGTCTGAAAGGTGAGCTTGCCGAAACATTTTGGGAACCACTCTGGCTTCAATTCTCTTGTTACATTGTACTGTAAGCTGTAAACAAGTCACGAGTTGTAGCCATCGAGGCCTGTATCACGGACGGTGGTGTCACCGGACACCGGGACACCTAAGCCCTAAGCCCAACATACGATCGATTGTGTTGTGATATTTGCCGAGCTGAGCGGTGGCGGTGTGAGTCGTGCGCCATAGGATGTCCAACACCAGTCCAGGGTTGAGGGTGCCCTCTGTCATACTCTCTTAGACTGGCGGCAGGCATGGAGTCTGGCATGGCCGAGTGCTTTGGCCCCATCGCAGAGAAAGCTGGCAAGGTCTGAGAGCTAAGCCGGCTGTTTATGAGCCTGGCAGACCCAGATAGACCCACGACAGGACTGGGCGGAGTTCGCCAAGGCCATGAAGAAGGCAGATCGCTGAGCGGTAGCAGAGCTTGCCGTGAAGCACAGCTTGCTGTCGCCAGGCCGACCGCTACCACGTGGAAGTCTACTGAGATCGGACAAGAGTTTTGGCCTCCCAGGCTTTGAGATGGGCCTTGCAACAGGAGAACGGAGACAATGCAATTTCAGTGAAAGGCGTTGCAAGGCCTCTCTAACCCCCTTCTCCGCCCATGAGCACGGGGTGTGTTCTATACACCTCACGAAGGAGTTGCTTCCTTCGTGCTCAGAGGCGCCGCTAGGTCCACAGGATTTTCCGATACTGTACACGCTCACAGGGCAGACTTGGAAAACGTGCACATTTTGCCATGCGGTTGGGTGCTTTTTCCAGCTCCCCTTCAAAAGCTGCCAAACAGGTCAAGAATCGAGCCAAAGGTGCCTTCGCGCAGAAGGACTCAGTACGTGACTTCATGGGCGTGTTCCTTGTCTGCGTCACGTGTTGGATATGTTGGAAAAATTCAGCATACGGAGTCTTTCAGGACATGCCCAGCGCAGAGCTTCTTTATGGCAAGGCTGGGATGGGGTCAAGCTCGTGCTTTCTACCCTAAACTCTCCCACGCTGGGTGAAGGCCATCTCTCTCCTGTCCTCGATGCCTGAAAAGATGGAAGCTACCTTGCAGGGGCACCCAGAGCCGGGCTGTCCGGGCAACGTATCGATCCTGCGTGTGCAACATCGTTCAGTCCACAATGTGTTTGGTCCAGCATATTATAAGGCCGCATGGAGAAGCCTTTCTGTTCAATAGCGTGCAGCCGTGAAACCGCACAATAGAGTTTCGCAGGTTCGCGGTTCGCAAAGTTTCGAGGCTGCAGCATTGCTGGCACTGTAGGTGGCCACGAGATGAATGTAATACTCGGTTTTGGATTCACAATTCTTCCTTTCCTGCTGTCTTTGGTGCGTTACCTCTCTGCTGAAAGCAGGATGCTGGTAGCTGTCCATTCAAGCTTCCACGTGCAGTTGGGCTTCTCAAAGGTACTCCAACAGATCGATGGTGCGGCTGAATCTCAACAAGGCAGCACCTGGCCAGGGCAGCGCTATGACTGGGATGATGTTGGCCTGAAGCTGATGACGAGCACAGGCTCGCGCAGCATGTGGATTCACCTTCAGGTGGAGGGTGCACTCGAGGATGCCAAGAAATGCTGCGAGCTCACCTGCAGCTGTTGGATAGGTGGCCGGGGAGTACTTGCTCGGGGCGGCTTTGTGCGGTGGTTTGTGGCCTGCTGAGGCTTGGAGCTGGACCCGAAGTTCGTGAAAGCCCACCACAGGAAGGCCCAGGCCTACTCCGGTGCATAGTTGAATATGATGCCCCTCTGTGCTCATTGTGGTCATGGCCAAGTATGCTTCTGCTGCTGGTACAAGCAGAGCAGGTTGATCACTCATGTTATTTTGCAACTTCCAACCTTGAAATCCGAAAGCCCCACAGTGCGCTTCCGTTTCAGCTTTGCTGGAAGAGGCCCTGCTCCGGCTTTCAGAATGGGATGAGGCCATCAAGGCGGCAGAGGCCTCGTCCGGGTCTGCTGCTGGGTATGCTGTGTTGGAAAACGGTGATTTTTTCCTTCGGAAGGAAGGCTCCAAGCTGGATCCCGAGAACAAAGCCTTCCCCGAGCTCATCGAGAAGGCCTGCGCAGTAAAGCTTCAAGTCTTAGCAGTCTTGAACTTCTGCTCGGGCCACTTCGCAGGCAAAGAAAGACCAGGAGAAGGATGCCGCCGACAAGGCGAAGCTCAAGGCTGATGCCCAGGACCCGGAAGATCTGCGATTGGAGCGATTGCCTTTCCGGCTGGTCATGCACTGCGGTTCGAACCGGCTTGTTGAGATGCGACAGGCTGGTGGGAAAGCTTTTTCTGTAAGAGGTTTGAGGATGAAGAGTTTGCGGGTCTCTCGGTCGGTCGTCGACTAGAATCCAAGGCTGTCGCACTATGCTTGGGGTCGTGAGGGCTGGTGGATTTGCTGTGGCAAACACAGCTCGTGACAGATCCGAGTTTTGGAGTGGATGGCGCACCCCACAAAGGTTCTGGAGATGGCTTCTGTGGAGCCTGTGCGGTGAAGACCAACTCAGGTTCCAGGTCACGTTTATTCGCAAAGCAAGAAGATCAGCGAAGCTGTAATCAACCGTTGATCATTGACCGTTTGTTCATGCCAACTTCGGGCTCGTATGTGGCAATTTCACGGGGGTAGGGTGCGGAAGCCATGAACAATTTCCAGAAGCCTGGATCCTGCATGGTTTAGTTTTCTCGATCAAGATTTTCACTGGTTGTGTGGAGAAGGGCACGTGGTGTCGAGACCTTGCAGTCAAGTGACGAGCATTCTAAATGTCAGAATCCGACGATCCTGGGCATGGCGTCAAGTTGCTGCCCTCCTACTGTTGGGATATTAGCTGCAGGGCCGTAGATGCCTGGCATTCACGAAGCCAGGCGGTCTCTGTTGGAGGCCATAGTGTCTCTGCTCTCTTCTTGACCAGGACGTCCGCGTAGAGCTCCACAACGCCTCCACCGCGAGAGCTCCACCAAAGCCTAAGGTGGCTTTGGCAGACTTCTGATAATTGGGTGCCACGGGACCATGGGACGTCCGACTGTAAGGCTTGTCGAACCTGACCAGAAGTTGCACTAGCTTCGAATTTGGTTGAGCATCACTTCAAAACTGCAGTCGAGATCAGGCTTTCTGAGCTCAGCTTCTGCATGACGAGTATTGAGCAACAAGCCGAGCTGTCGTGGAAAGTGCTCCTCATTCCGTATGGCAGGACAAGGCAGACAAAGAGAACGAGAGCGGCGAAATGCGGGGGTACAAGAAGACCGCTGTGCCTCGGAAGCATAGGATAGGAAGTTATCTGTAGCATCGGGATCCGGAAAGTTCGCGTCTGTTTTGACGGCTTTAGGCTGCACTGCTGCAGGATGGCAGGACCACCTCGTATTTCCACACGGACATCTCGGATGAGGTGCATGTCTCGAAGTGCGGAGAATCTCGTTGGGCCCCCTTGACAGCACGGTTACGCCAAGCCGTGCAATGCAGCAGCGATTGCGCGAGCAAGGGACAGCGTGCGTTTTCAGGCGAAGAAGCTCATCGAGGCCCAGGGCTTCGGGAAGCCGAAGAAGCTGGACACTCCCGTGGAGGCACTGTGTCCTCTGTGTGTCACCAGTGACCGGTCTTCATGTTTTTGTTCACATAACGAAACCTTCCGGCGCTTCTTTGAAAGGCGGACGATGTCAAGGGCGGTGGCAGCCAGTGGAACCAGGCAGCGAAATCTGAAAATTCATTTCGGGAAAGCATCCGCATAAGCATATGACATGATTTCAGCCGTGCTGTTCACTGGAAACCTTTTGGCCACACACCCTCATACAGAATGTGGCATACGATTCCAAGTTTCATGCATGTCTTGGTTGGCATGATGGCATACTGGCCAGGCCGGCACGTACGAAGAAAAGGGCATGACGAAGTGGCTGGAGGATCGACCCTCGTCTCAACAGACCGTTCGATGAGGCATTGGTGTAGTTTTGAGCCCTCTCGTGCAAGTAGATGAGCCTGAATGATAGTAGAGTTCCGGCGAGTGCAGCGATGCGCAGCACCTCCTTTGGAACGGATATCAGAGCCCCAAGCCTGAACTGGAGCTGAGCAGTCTGCAACAAAGCCCTTGAGGTCTGAAGAGCGGACTCGTCGGTCTACGCTTCAATCTGCCGAAGAGCGACGGTGCGGGGGTTGTGTTTGACAAAGGGAAAGCTACAGTCGTGCTGCTTAGAGGTATCATTATTTTGTTGCTGCTGTGACCCTTAGCCGTCACCAATCATGGCAATGTTGTCTTCATGCACTCCTCTTGGTCGTGGTTGTTGTTGTTGTTGTTGTTGTTGTTGTTGTTGTTGTGGTGGTGGTGGTGGTGGTGGTGGTGGTGGTTGTTGTTGTTGTTGTTGTTGTTGTCGTTGTCGTGCTTGTTGTTGTCGTCGCTGTCGCTGTCCTGTCATTATCGTTCGGTGGTAGTGATGGTGGTTGTCGTGGCAGTGGTGTTCGTCGTCGTCGTTGTCGGCGTCGTCGTCGTCCTAGTCGTAGTCGTCGTCGTCGTCGTCGCAGCAGTAGGAGTAGCAGCAGTAGCAATTGCAGTAGCGGCAGCGGTAGCAGTAGCAATAGCAGTAGCCGTCACAGTCGCAGTCGCAGTCGCAGTCGCAGTCGCAGTCGCAGTCGCAGTCGCAGTCGCAGTCGCAGTTGCAGCCGTCGTCACAGTCGCAGTCGCAGTCGCAGTCGCAGTCGCAGTCGCAGTCGCAGTCGCAG